TGTGTGTGTGTGTGTGTGTGTGTGTGTGTGCAGAGATGGGGGGTCAGGTGTCAACCGAGGGTGTCCACGTGGTGGTGGTGGGCGGAGGATTTGGTGGAATCGCTGCAGCTCAAGACCTGAAGTATCGAGGATTCAGCTTCACTCTGATCGACATGAGAGACGCTTTCCATCACAACCTGGGCGCTCTGCGAGCCGCCGTACAGCCAGGTACCATGAGCACACCTGTCCTCACCTGTTCTCCTGTCAGTTCTAAAAGTAGTTTCTGGTACTTATATTATCTTCACTTTAAGATGACCTCGTCGACTGTTATTCTTCTATCTTGTTGTGTTTGCTGATTTTATTCTAGATTTCTGTAAAAATTTATGTTATTTTTACACATTTTAATTTTAAAAAAATTAGTGCTGTGCTGTGTGCAGGCTTTGCTCAGAAGACCTTCATCCCGTACGCCGAGACGTTTGGCGAGAGCTTCGTTCAGGGTCGGGTGGAGCTCGTCGACACAGACAGGCAGCTGGTGATCCTGGAGGGAGGGAGGGTGAGGACCACAGCAGCTCCCTGTGGAGCTTCTTCTGCAGCATGAGGAGGAGGTGAAGCTGCAGCTGAATCTGTGTCGTTTGTGCCGCAGGAGGTCCAGTACTCCCACCTCATCCTGTGCACCGGCACCGACGGGCCGTTCCCCGGGAAGTTCAACACGGTGGCGTCGCATAAGGAGGCGGTCCAGAAGTACGAGGACTTCATCAGAGAGGTTCGATCCAGGTTTTACTGCTGTTTGTTTAGAAGTTATTGTTATTGAACCTTTTTTGGTTGAATTTCAAATCTTCATATTTAATAATTTAATACATTTTAGTTTGAACTTCACCAGCAGAAAAAATACTGCCATGGAAAAGTTCATGTAAACGTAGATTTAAAGTATAAACTCTACTCTAAAAAGTACATTAATGTACAAGTTTTATACTAAAGTTTATCTCTGTACTGAAATAGAACTGTCCAGTATTAGTGAGTGAAATTAGTTTTATTTTATTACTTAATATTTTTTCAAAACCGTTAGTTTTATTATTGTAATGTTTAACGCAGATATACATACACAAGTGTTAGAACAGCCCGTGTTTCCAGTTATTTATTGCAGTTCAGGTCCGATGAACAGCTGGAAAGGTGAGTGGTGAACAGAGGCTTAAATAAAGGTAAGGTGAGCTAAAACTGAAAGAGAGTGCACATTTCAGAATGGTACAAAAAGGCCTTTTACAGGAAACACAACACGGGTTAACTGAGTCCTGTGGGACCAACCGGGCGTAGTGGTGGTAGACGACCAGGAGACGGCCGTAGTGACAGATGTAGTGATACTGAACAACAGCAACCTCGGGAAGAAGGAACACGAGAAGCTGCAGGAGTACCAAGGGCTCAGAGAAGAGCTGCAGGAGATGTGCAGGGTGAAGGTGACGGTGGTCCCAGTGGAGCACTGGGTGCAGTGACTCCCAAACTGCGAGAACGACTCCAGCAGATCCCGGGAACAACGTCGGACATCTCTGTGAAGACGAGCGCAGTCCTGGGAACAGCTGAGATACTGCAGGACCCTCGAGCTGCCGGGCCTCTGGTAGAGCCGAGCAGGAGGTTTTACTGCAAAGCTGTTTTGCAGCTGACGTGTCAGATTGTGTTTCTCTGTCTGGTCTTTCAATGTTTCACACGACAACAAAAACCCAGAAAACTTCAAGAAGTCAAATTAAAAATATGTAAATTCCTCACGCTGTGTGTCTGTGTGTGTG